TGCAGGAAAATTAACCTCATTAGTTTCTAAGTATACAAAACTACAATCAGCTACTACCTAACATGACGGAGTACTCAGTTGCATTTTTCCCTCTGTATTTCCTTTGTGAGTGATAAGCAAATATGAAAATAAGCTAAAAACTGGGATTTCATTTTAAGATAAAAACAAAACTAATAAAACTTCCCAGCAGGTTATCTGGATTACTATAAACAGACCAACCTCAACTTTGAATGTCATCTTCAGATCACATTCAGGAATCAGTGCAAGTCAGGGATTGCCTATACATCTATAGCTTTAACTTTCTTAAACAATTCCCAGTAGTCAAAATTTATGACTCCCTAGAAATTCCATTCTAAGCATATGCCTAAGCAAAATGAAAACATGTCCAAACAAAAATCTGCATGCAAATGTGCACAGTAGTGATACTCACAATAGCAGAAAGTAGATATAACTCAGATGTCATAAACTAACAGATGACTAAAAATATAGTATAAAGTTAAAGATACCAGTCACAAAGAACCACATATTACATGATTTCATTATATGAAATGTCTGGAAAAGACAAATGCACAGAGATAGAAAGTGAGTGGTTGTATAGTGCTGAGAGGCTAACGGACAGGGGCCTCTTTCCAAGGTAATGAAAATGTTCTAAGATTAAACAGTGGTGACTATTGCACAACTCTGTGAATATACTAAAAGCCACTGAATTGTACACTTTAAATGGGTGAAGTATATGGTATATGAACTATTTCTCAATAAAAGTGTATTAAAATAACTGGTGTGAGTTTTTTCTCAATTCAAAATTTTAATGCCATCTATAATCATCTGGGTACATTTCAAAATGTAAAAGATTAAGATTTCCATTAAAAAATCTAAGTTACAGTATTACACCACAAAAATACTATTTCAATACTTAAGAACCGTATTGAATACTTAGAACATGTATTTTAATCATCTGGTGTGCAATTCTGATAGTGGGGAAGGCTGTGTGTATGTCAGGGGAGGAGTTATATCAGAACTCTCTTTACCTTCCACTCAAATTTGCTCTGAATCTAAAGGAGCTCTAGAAAATAAAGTCTGTTTAAGAATAAAAACTCTCTACAGACTCAGTGTAATCCCTATCAAAATACTAACAGTATTCTTCAATGAACTGGAACAAACAGTTCTAAAATTCATATGGGACCATAAAAGACCCCAAATAGCCAAAGCAATCCTGAGAAGTAAGAATAAAGTTGGGGGGATTACGCTCCCCGACTTCAATCTCTACTACAAAGTCTCAGTAATTGAGACAATTTGGTACTGCCACAAGAACAGACCCACAGACCAATGGAACAGAATAGACAGCCCAGATATAAACCCAAGCATATACCATCAATTAATATACGATAAAGGAGCCATGGATATACAATGGGGAAGTGACAGCCTCTTCAAAAACTGGTGTTGGCAAAATTGGACAGCTACATGCAAGAGAATGAAACTGGATTATGGTCTAATCACATACACAAAAGTAAACTCAAAATAGATCAAAGACCTGAATGTAAGTCATGAAACCATAAAGCTCTCAGAAGATAACATAGGCAAAAATCTCCTGAATATAAACAGAAGCAACTTTTTCCTGAATGCATCTCCTGGGGCAAGAGAAACAAAGCAAAAATGAACAAATAGGACTACATCAGGCTAAAAAGCTTCTGTACAGCAAAGGACACCATGAGCAGAACAAAAATGCATCCTATAGTATGGGAGAATATATTTATAAATGATATATCCAACAAGGGGTTAACATACAAAATATATAAAGAACTCACATGCCTCAACACCCAAAAAGCAAATAACCCCATTAAAAAATGGGCAGAGGATAGGAACAGAGACTTCTCCAAAGAAATTCAGATGGCCAACAGGCACATGAAAAGATGCTCCACATCACTAATTATCAGGGAAATGCAAATTAAAACCACAATGAGATATCACCTCACACCAGTTAGGATGGCCAGCATCGAAGAGACTAAGAACAACAAATGCTGGTGAGGACGTGGAGAAAGGGGAGCCCTCATACACTCCCGGTGGGAATGTAAGCTAGTTCAACTATTGTGGAAAGCAATATGGAGGTTCCTCAAAAAACTAAAAATAGAAATACCATTTGACCCAGGAATTCCACTCCTAGGAATTTACCCAAAGGAAACAACTTCTCAGATTCAAAAAGACATGCACCCCTATGTTTATTGTAGCACTATTTACAATAGACAAGATATGGAAGAGGCCTAAGTGCCCATCAGTAAATGAATGGATAAAGAAGATGATGTGGTACATATCACAATGGAATATTATTCATCCATAAGAAACAAATCCTACCATTTGCAACAACATGAATGCAGCTAGAGGGTATTATGCTCAGTGAAATAAGTCATGTGGAGAAAGACAAATGTCAAATGATCCCTTATTTGTGGAGTATAACAACAAAGCAAAACTGAAGGAACAAAATAGCAACAGACTCACAGACTCCAAGAAGGGACTAGTGGTTACCAAAGGGGAGGGGTGGGGGAGGGAGGGAGAAGGGGATTGAGGGGTATTATGTTTAGTATACATGGTGTGGAGGATCACGGAGAGAACAGTGTAGCACAGAGAAGGCAAATAGTGAATCTGTGGCATCTTACTACACTGATGGACAGTGTCTGAATTGGGGTCTGGGTGTGGACTTGATAATATGGGTGAATGTAGCAACCACATTGTTTTTTCATGTGAAACCTTCATTAGAGTTTGTATCAATAATACAAAATTTAAAAAATAGTATTAAAAAAAAAGAATAAAAACTCTATGGGGCTGTAGAACCCCTAATTTAAAAAAAAAGATTATTCTCCAATATATTTTATTAAGGCAGGGAAGTGAGTTTTAATTTAAAAACACATTTTTAACAATTATATGCCATAAGCATTTTGGGGTAATCCTGTAAAAAAAAAAAACCTGAGAGATTCTACTTCTTTGAATTAGTCAATTCTTTCAAAATTATTTCCATTTTTTATCAAAACATTATTTCATTCTTTACTTATCCCTCCTTTTCCTTTTACTTTTTTAAGTACCTGTACTGTTTTAAAAGTTTTATTGAAATATAATGTAATGACCATAAAATTCACCTGTTTTAACTAATAAGTTGATGAGTTTTAGTAAATGTAACAGCGAGGTTGGCAATCTTCACAATCCAGTTTGAGAACACTTCTATTTGCCTGAAAAATTCCCCTCTACCCATTTGCAGTCAATCTCTGCTCCTACACCCAGATCCATGCAACTACTAATCTACTTTCATCTGTAAAATGTTTTTTCTAGAAATTTCAAATAAACAGGATCATTCAATAGTCTATGTAACTGATTCCTTATTTTGTTGCATTTATCAGTAGTTCACCCTTCTTTACTGCTGAGTAGTAGCCCATCGTATGGATGTACCACATTGTGTTTTTCCATTTATCAGTTGATGGATATTTGAACTGTTCACAGTTTTTAGCTATTAGGAATAATACTGCTGAAAATATTTCCCTAAAAGTCCATGTAAACATGTATTTTCATTTTTATTGGGTACTTAGGACTGGATTCGCTAAATCATACAGAAGGCATATGTTCAACTTTTTAAAAAGCTGCCAAACTTTTCCAAAGTTTTGTACAATTTTACACCCCCACCAGCAATGTGTGAGGTTGCTAGTCACTCTACTTCTTTCCAGCACTTAGGACAATCTTTTTTTTTTTTTTTTTTTAATTTCAGCCAGTCAAGAAGAAAAACACCCAATTTTTTCTCCTGTATCTCTCCTTTATTCTCACACTTCTACCATCCTCTCAACACTTCTGACACTTCTGGTCACCAAATGTGTGAGTTTTTTCCCCACACCAAATAACTCTGTGACAACAGTGGGTATCCTACAATTTCACCCAATTCTGACCCTATCCACCTGTATGTATATTCAAGTATCAATCACAATTAGTAAGTCCCCAGGTTACCTGCAACTCTGTTCAACTTGGCTACAAATTCAGAGTTACCATGACCCCCATCTTGGGTCTGATTAATGTGCTAGACCATCCATCTCACAGAACCCGGGGAAAAACTAACTTACACTTACCAGTTTATTACAAAAGAATATGATAAGGAATACAGATGAACATCTGATGGAAAAGACACATAGGGCAAGATATGTGGGAAGAGACATGGAGTTTCTATACCCTCTCCAAGCACAGCACTTTCTCAGCATCTCTATTTGATCATTAACCCAAAACTCCCTGGATCGTGTACTTTCTTGGATTTTTACGGCAGCTTCATCACATAGTAATGATTGATCATTACTCCAATCATTTCCAGCCCTTCTTCCTTCTCAAGAGAATAGAGATAGGGGTGGGGCTGAAAATTCCAATTCTAATCATGGCTTGGTCTTGTGGCAACTAGCCCTCATCCTGGAGCCATTCAGGAGCCCCCCGAGACTCACCTCATTAAAACAAAAGACATTCCTATCACCCAGGAAATCATAAGGGTTTTAGGTGCCTTGTATCAGAAGCCTGGGGGCAGAGACAATTATTCATGTGATGAATATTATTAATGTAATATTGAGTGGGGAAAAAAGAAGTCCTGGAAGATAATAAGCATATGACTCCAAGCAAAACTGAACATACTGTTTGGGCACACATATATTCATAATAAAAACCATCCTTAAAGAGGCAAAGAAATGATATTCACCATGCTCATAACAGTAGTTACAGGAAATAACGAATCTAGGGCTCAAAGGGAGGAAAGAAAATAGAATTACTGATGAACACATAAATAAATGTAAGTTATTAGTAATGTTCTAACTCTTAGGTTGAATGGTTTATATACTTTGTAATTTACATGTGTCATCTAATTCTCTTTAGGTATAATTATTTTAATATATATTTATAAAACACAAGCAAAATCTATTTTTAAAATTACCCATTATAAGCTTCATTGGGCACTCAGAATGTACATGAAAAATTTTCTTAAAGTTTTTTACCTTTGTTTCTGTTCAACTGCTTTGTCCAAGTGCTGAAAGATATCCTGAAACAGAGTGCAGCTGGATCGACTATTAATAGTATACCCATATCCTCTTTTCCAATATTGTTTCAGGTCATTTAAATATTCTAATACCTAAAAACAAAAACATTAAAAATCATTACTTTACCATTTTTATTAATGTAACAAATTCCCTGATTCAATAATGATTCTCTCAGAAAGGCTACATTGTTTAATCACCATTCTGCACAAAGCATAGTAGAATCTTAGCATTCACCAAGTTTGTATTTGCCATTCAAATATTGAAGAGTTGGCCCCAAAGGTCCATGACACATAGAATTTTATGTTGAGACCCAAATTTGAATTGTGGGAATGTAGAGGCTGGTATGCAAGAGCAAGTTATTAGTTAGTACTCACAGCCAATAATCCAGCACCCACAACAGCGCAGGATAGTGAGTTAAAGGTATGTACTTACCTACCCTTTCTTTTAAATTTATTAAGATGATAGGAAAGATAAATACAGAAAAAAGAAAATAAGATACACATAGAAGAACAGTCAGTATAGCACAGGAAGAATGCCAACAATGGATCAGGAATTTTTAAGAATTTTAAGAAGGTGAAACCAGACAGAAAATGAGTTAGTTTGGTTCATGAATCAGTTGGCAAAAACAGTAATATAAGTAGACAAAGGACATGAAGAATTGTTAATACTGGAAGGAGGTAGATATTTTAAAGGGAAAACTGGCAGAAATCCATAAACATACATCTCTACAGCCCATTTAATTCCATTTCTTAAAAAGAAAAATTTAAAGAAAGAAGAGAACGTCAAGAATGTTATAGAGCATAGCATCTTACTACACTGATGGACAACAGTGACTGCAATGGGGTGTGGGGGAGGACTAGATAATACGGGTGAATGTTGTAACCACAATGATGCCCATGTGGAACCTTCATAAGACTGTATATCAATGATACCTTAATATAAAATGTTTAAAAAAGATTAAATGTAAAAAAGAAGAGTGTCATAAGAGCACTGCTGCTTACAGGAGCAGAGAATTAAAATCTGCAACCCAAAAGAGGTACAAGAGAACTATGCAGTAGTTATGAGCAATTCTTTCCCAAAAAGCATCTCAAGAAACTAAGAGCAAGCCATAATGAGTTTATGAGCAAGAACAAGTGTGAGCCACTGACATCTACCAAAAACAAAATTAAGCATACATTAAAGAGGCAATTAAATCAACAACTCAGCAAAGGTGACAAAGTAAACATGTTTAAAAAGTGAAAAAAAAAATTAAAGACATGAAAATGTAAATAGAATGGGTGGTTTTTCTGGAAAATGTAAGTTATTCAAACTGACTCAGAAAATCTGACTGTACAAAATAACTATAGTCAAAGGTCTACCTAAAACAGCAGGTATAGTTGGTTTTAAGCATGAGTTCTACCAAACCTTCAAGGAAAAGTTAGTTCCTATTTGAATTATTCCAGGGCAGAGGAAAAGACCGAAAGCTTCTCAACTCATTTTAGGAGGCTAACAGAAGCCTGTTACCAAAGCTAGACAAAGAAAGCACAAGGAAAGGGGTGAGGGGAGAAAATTCAGAACACTGCTTTGCAACAGTTAGCATCCCATGCTCTCATCCACTAAACACCAACTGTGACTCCTAGTCACTGAAACAAGCAAAAATTCCCCCTTCCATTTCTAACTTCCCAAAAGGGAGAGGAGTAGAACAGACCAGTAGTACCGTACCACACACAAGTGAAAGCTACTACCATAAGCCAATGCCACTATAAACATGGTTTAATGAATTAACAAATAAAATTCAGCATTATATTAGGATGTGTCATCTGCCATGATGCAATAATTGATACCAGTCATGCCCTCCTGATATAACTAGAAAATGGGAAAAAATATATGAAATAAATGTTTTCAGTCACTGAGTAATAAATAATGAGCTGTGATCACTGAGGAAAAAACAAACAAAATAAACCCTACAACCGCCCAAGCTTTCTGCCTGGAGGCACTTTCAAACTGTGGCATAGGGAAAGGAACACCAACAGAACCCAGCAGTCTTGCTTAATTGAAGAGTCACAACTCAAAGAGTTCTGCTGAGTGTGAAGGGGCTGGGATTATCTTGGTAGATTATCAGAGAGGATGAAGCTACACAGAAAAAGAGCTCCAGGAATCTTGGGGGGGTCCCTTGATTCTGTTGTTGAACGTTGTGGGAGTTATAAGCTGAATTCCAGAGCTATTACAAGGCTGGGAGATATGCAAGTTCTAAGCACCCAAGTACAGACAACTTCAATTGACACCCAGACATTCAGGACTTCAATACAGACCCCAGAAGGGTCACACTTCACTAGTAAAGGCATATGTATAAAGGCCTGTTTCTAAGTTTTGTAAGGTCAGGTTTATTGTATGAAACTGAGAAACAAGCCTCAAAAGGATCAAGCTGATCCACAAGTAACTTGGCTGCAAAATAAAACAAAAGTCAACACCCTTTAAAAGAAGATAACAAAATCCAGGCACTCAGCAACATAAGATTCACCATATCCAATATCTACTAAAAATTATCAGAAATATATGAAAAAACAAGAAATGTGACCCATAACTAGGAGAAAAATCAGTTAAAGGAAGAACCTAAGAAAAAAGAAATGCAAGGATAATTTAATATTAGAAAACAAACTAATTTACTATAAGACTAAAGAAAAAAAAACCAATCATCTTCCTAGATGTCAAAAATTTAGCACACTTTCCTGATTTTAAAAATAAAAAAAAAAATAAACAAATAGCAAGTTTTAGTAAGCAAGAAACAGAAATTTCCTTAACTTGGTTAAGAACATCATTATTTATGATGAAACATTAGAAGTGTTCTTAATTAGAAAATCAAACAAAAGTTCATGGTGCCATCATCAAGATTATCTGTTGTACCCTCTCAGAAATCACCTTAAAAAAGAAGAATGAAAAAGAGAAATGCAAATGCCTTCTTCAAAGAAATTAGGAGACCACTGAACCTAAAGCGCCACAGCAGATGAGGAAGGACAGCCAAAGGCACTGCAAATGGACCACCACCTCAGGTAAAACCAGCGGGAGTCAGGTCCCCTAAAGCACAACGTACACCCGTAAAACCAGTAACCCTTTGCTCCAACAATAAGAATGAAGTCAAAAGGGGTCCCTGGAGAGTATGTAACACCACTACATGAAACAGACTAACATTCCATCTTTACAGAAACACTCTGCAAAGGACCTCGGAGGAGTGTGAACTGGAAGTAACACTACTCTCTCTGAATAGCTACTACTCCTCCTCACTGGCTGCAAGAAGTAAAAGCTGAACTCACTATAAAGATGAGTAATAATTAAAAGGGGAGCTTGCACAGCACCTATATAAACACACAAAGAGAAAAGACAATACATATATACAGATAAATGAGCCAGAAAAAAACCCTCACCCAAGAAATTCTGCCACAGAGCACATGGAAACTGAAATTAAACAAACATAGTATCATGAATTCCGAAGACTTAAGACAATAAAATAATCATTTAAGAAAAGAAAAAAAGTCAAAAGCAGGAGGGAAAAAAAAAGATAAAAAAGCATAAAGACAGAAAACAAAGTTGGAACAGCTCCAAAAATAGTTTTGCTTTAGCCAATAATTTGAAGTTCTATATATCCTGTGATCCAGCAATTCTACCAGAGACACAGACCTTCATAAATACGTGTAAATAAGCCTTAATAGACATACACAAGAATCTCCATAATTCTCAGAATTTCAAGTGTCTATTCAATTCTAATTTTTTTAACTTTTTTTTTGGAATCATTAATCTACAATTACATAAGCGACATCATGGTTACTAGACTCCCCCCATCATCAAGTCCCCACCACATACCCCATTACAGTCACTGTTCATCAGTGTAGTAAGATCCTGTAGAATCACTAATTGTCTTCTGTGTTGTACAGCCTTCCCTGTGCCCCCCACCCCCTACAATATGTCTGCTAATCATAATGCCAACATTAATGGAGAATTTTGAACATATAAAAATTAGAGAACATTAGTATAATGAACATATAGAATTCTGAACATGTAAAAATTAGAGAACATTAGTATGATGAACATACAGAATTTTGAACATATAAAAATTAGAGAACATTAGTATAATGAGCCCCTCCCTGTGTGCCCATCATCTCACTTCAACAATAAACAACATTTGATCAATCCTATTTCAGTTATGGCGCCTACTACCACTACTGGATTATTCTGAAGCAAATCCTGGACATCATTTTATTTCATCTGTAAATACTTCAATATGTAAACATATTTCACAGTGAAAAGTCCTAAGCAGAGATAGATAATTTCCTATCAAGTCACTAAAAAAAGAAGAATGAAATAATCAGGAAATACTTGAAATATTAACTGTATATTAGGTAATACTGTACTACATACATATATATAAAATTATGTTTTATTATAGTTATGTAGGAGAATGTTCTTGTTTAGATGCATGCCCAAGTGCATGGGTGACGTGTCTTGATGTCTGGAAAGAAAAAAGATTATATATACGGGGTAGACAGAATAAATGGACCCCCAAAGATGTCTACATCCTATTCCCTGAAACATATCAATACATTATCTTATATGATACCAGAGAATTTGCAGGTGTGATAAAGTTGAGGCTCTTAAGATGAGATTTATCCAAAACTATTCAGGTGGACCCAATGTAATCACAAAGATTCTTACAAGAAACAGGCAGGAAGGTCTGTCAGAGGAGGTAAGATCATGCAAGCAGAGGCTGGAGTGATAACAAGGAACACAGGCGGCCCCTAGAGACTGGGAAAGGTAAGGAATGATTTTCCCCTTGAGCCACCAGAAAGAAGTCAGCGCTACCAACACCCTGAGTTTAGCCCTGTGAGATGCATTTTGGACTTTTGACCTCCTGAACTGTAAGACAGCAAATTTGTGTTGCTTTAAACCACTAAGTCTGTGGTAATCTGCTATAGTAGCAAGAAGAAACTAATATATGCAAAGAAAAGCAAATGTAGCAAAAAGGGTTAACAACTGGTGTATACTGGTGAAGGATATGAATATTCACTGCTTATTCTTACAATTTCTGTTGGTTTGAAAAATTTTCAAGTAAGTTTCAGGAGGGCAAAGAGAGGAATTCATTAGCAATAAAGAGATAAGAGGGTAATCCTAAAAAGAAAATGAAGAAGAAAAGACAAGTGGTATAGAATCTCAGAGTTATAGGGGTATTCCTGACTCACCTAACAGTTTCATCTGCTAACAGATATGGAAATCAAGGCACAGAAAGATTAACCCAGACCTTGCCTTCCAGGGTGTTTGCAGTCTATCAAACTACCTCCTAGAAGAGAAAGAGAAGGTACAAAAAAAGCAAGAGTGAAATGTTTAAAAGGATTCAAATAAGGGAAAAAAGAAGTACAAGTAGGCAATGAGAGGATGGATAAGCAGAAGCTGGTTATGATCTAAGATGCATACCTTCACTGCAAGGAAAGTAGTTTGCTCTTAAACCAGCAGTTGTCAGTCTTCACAAGTAAGAGACCACATAGATATACTATTCAGAACAGTGAAAGGGCAGATAGCAGATGGCCAGGTGATCACATGCCAAATATTCCAATGACTATAGTATTTGGGCAAGTAAGTTTTATTCTGTTAAAAGATAAAATTCTCTTTCACTAACACCAATCAGTCATTTATCCATTACTGAAAATCACTTCAATTTTGAAGAATTTTTTTCCCTAGAGCAATATGAGTAAGGAAAACAGGGAGATGAGGTATTTAGACACATATGAATAGTGACCAAAAGTCTCAGTTTATGCCTACATAATTATTAATGATGTCCCCTTTACTTTTAAAAGTATCCCAACTTAAAAGATAAATTTTATGGTCATCCTGAGCAGAAGATATTTCAGAGGGTGGACCAGAAGTTGCTGAAGTGATGGGTCATAGACACTTAAGGAGGTAAGTAGGTTGTTGGGTACCTGGTACAGAGAAAAAGGAGCTCATCAGGAAGCAAGCACAGAGTGGAACTATAACACACCTATTACAAGTAGTGCTCAAAATCCCAGAACATTCACTGAGGGCTCCTTCCCCTTCCAACTTACCTGCTAAAACCAATTCCTGCACTGGCACCTTTAACCACCTGTAATCTGGTTGCTAGTCACTTACATCTTTGAGTAACAAAACAAAGCACCTGTTTATCTTCAACTGTATGTTAGCTCTCATCTTAAAAGCCTGCTATTTGGCAAACAGTATCTGGATGATCCATATATACAGACGTATGCTATTCTTCATCCACCAGAATTCAATCCAATATTATCTTAAATGCTTAAGGAAACAATTAATACACCCCTACTCCACCTCTCTGGCTCCCAACATCCCAGAATTAACCAGAACTTGTCTCCCTTAAACTCACCAGAGGCCTATGTGTCCTTTTTCTAGAGTCTAAAAGTCTACAGAGAAGCCATATGAATAAAGAGGAAAAAAGGGAATATGAATAGGCAGACAAAAACTATATATGAATTACTGCCATCACCAGGTGGAACACAGAACTCCATGTATCATGACAACTTAAAAAAGAAATAATTAGGTATCTGAAAACCAATCATCCTCTCTGAGCTTTGACTTCCTATAAAAAGAAGAATTTGGGTTATATTAGCTCTACAATCCTTTCCAGCAGTAAAATTTGATGATGGATTAAATAAGTTTTTAACTGAGTGGATCTAGAAATCGAATTGCTTAGAAGAATATTTTCCAGAGTTTTCTAAAGCCAAACGATCTATAAGTAGGCAGGATCTATCTGAATATAATTAATCTCTTTATGTAAGGAAAACTATGAGTTAGTCAAAGACAGTTAATGGTCCCTACTCTGCTTATTTTTTTGAAAAGCTGCTTCAAGCAACAACAAAAACAATCAAGAAAAAAAAAAAAGCAAAGAAACTACAAAAGTAATACTTACCTTTGCATCATCTATGTCAAAAACATCACACCAAGGAGATTTGACACCCTTAATTGCCAGGTCAAATGAACAGGTGAAAAATGCTACCTGAATTAAATCTGAAAAAAAGAAAGGTAATACTTGTAGGTTACTATTTTCTGCAATTTTCCAAAACACAGTTGAAGGAGCTGAGCATGCATCATTTAGAAAGAACTATTCAGTTTCACCCTGGCTATCAAATAAAGACTTTTTCTGTATAATCCCAAAGGTAGGAACTGGAACTGTCAAGAAGAAACCATGAGGAGGTATAAATTTCAGTCCAGTGAAGCTAAGAAACCTTTTCTCTGTGAAACAGTAACTTTTTTCTTCTTTTACAAGTAGTATGTGTGTTAAAGAGTGTGTTGGTCTACCAAACCCAACCAAAAGTATAACCCAAGGACTTGCTACATGAAACACACTTGATTTGTTAATTTTAGAGGGTTGGCCCTGGAGATCTGCTCTGGGAGCAGGAGCCCACATTACACTGGGTTCTGGTAATTAGCGAGCTGGACACCAGAGTTGGGCGGAACACTCTGGGAGGTTGAGACTCCAGACACTTGTGGAGGACAGGCACAAAGCAGGGGCGGCAATTTGAAAGACTTAACAGCAGCAGGAATGGTGCCAGAGGGGCGAGGGTTGGACAGGACTCTCTCCTCAGGATACAGGGCAGGTGGAGGATACCTTCCTAGCCCTCCCTCAGCCCAACAGGTTGGAAACTCTCAGGAGCCTCAGATTCTGTCCCCATCACTCACAACGCAGCCCTGAGGCTCCTCCTCCCTGTGTGCACTGCCTTCAGCCAAACCACTCGCCCCAGCATTAGCAGCAGACTTTGCTGCCTGGCAGGCAGGGGGAGACCCTTGCAGCTTTCTCAGCTCCATTTCAGCCCAACCCAAGATGTGCCCACAGGAGCCAGCCCCAAGAGTTCCTCCCTCCCCATGGGTGTCCAAGCCCAGTGCTGTGCATCTGGCCTGGGCAGAGCCACACACCAGCCCACTCACCCAATTAAACCTGCAGCTCCACCATTGCTGTAGGGCAGGCAGAGGGCAGCCCTGCCCACAGTGATCCCAGCAGAGACTGCTGGGCTGATCACAAAGGTGGTGGCTGAAGCAAGCTGCCAGCACAGACTCAGACCACTACAGAAGACAGACAGAAAGGCAGCCCCACCTACTGCATGCAAACAGCTGGGGGTCCTGCAAATAGAACCAGGCACTGGAGAGTAAAGACTCTTGAGTTCCAGGCACCATAAGATGCCTCCTTTATAAAGCTTTTTACTCTACAGGCCAGGAAGCATGGCAGAGCCATCTAATACAAGGGAAGAAACACAGAAACCCTGATAAAATGAGGACACAGAGGAATACATTCCAAACAAAACTACAGGGTAGGACACCAGAAAGAGGGCTAAATGACACAGAGATCACCAATCTTCCTGATAAACATTTCAAAATAAAAGTCATAAACATACTCACTGATTTACAGAAAAATATCCAAGATCTCAGGGAGAACTTCAACAGAGATAAAAGACCTGAAAAAGAGTCACTCAGAGCTGAAGAATACAGTATTTGAAATGAAACATACAATGAAGGGATTTAAAAGTAGATTACTGCAGGTAGAGGAGACTGAATGATGGACATCAGAGAACAGGAACATAATGAAGCTGAGGCACAGAGAGAAAAAAGGATCTCTAGGAATCAAAGAATGATAAGAGAGCTGTGTGACCAATCCACACAAAACAATATTTGCATAATAGGGGTACCAGAAAGAAAAGAGAGAGACAAAGGGATAGGAAGTCTCTGAGGAAATAATTATTCAAAACTTCCACAATCTGAGGAAGGAAACAGACACTCAGGTCATGGAAATAGGGAAATATGGAAATCAAGGATAAGGAGAGAGTACTGAAAGCAGCCAGAGAGAGAAAAAAGATTACTTATAAAGGAAACTCATCAAGCTATCAGCAGATTTCTCAGCAGAAACTTTACAGGCCAGAAGGGAGTGGCATGAAACACTGAATGTACTGAAACAGAAAGACCTCCAACCAAGAATCCTCTATCTGGCAAGATTATCATTTAAATTTGAAGCTAGTATTAAACAATTTCCAGATAAACCGAAGTTGAAGGAATTCACCACCACTATACCAGCCTCTCAGGATATGTGAAAGGGACTGCTGTAGATGGAGATGTTCCTAAGGCTAAATAGTTTTCACCAGTGAAAATAAACCCACAGTAAAGGTAGTAGACCAATTAATTACCAAGCAAGTATGAGACTAAAACAAACAAAAAAAGAAGCAAAATCAACTATACACAAAATCAGTTAAGGGATACACAAAAAGTGCAGATTATGACATCTAATACAAAAAGTGTGGAGGAAGAAGAAAAAAGTACCTTTAGATTGTGTTTGAAATAGAATAATCAGTAATTAAAGACAGACTGTTATATAATAAGGAAGCTATCCTCGAACCTTTGGTAACCACAAAACTAAAGCCTATAATATAGATACAAAAAAATAATAATTTTTTTAAAAAAGAGAAATCCAATCATAACACTAAAGGAAACCACCAAATAACAAAAATATAAGACAGGAAGACAGGAACAGAGAGGAGCTATAAAAACAACCAGAAAACAATTAATAAAATGGCAATAAGTACATATCTATCAATACTAACCTTAAATGTAAATGCACTGATCAAAAGACTTAGAGTGGCAGATTGGATAGGAAACAAGACCCATCTTTATGCTGCCTACAAGAGATTCACTTCAGACCCAAAGACATACACAGACTAAATGTGAAAGGATGGATAAAGGTATTTTAGGCACAGAATATGGAGAAAAAAGCAGGAGTAGCAGTAGTTATGTCACACAAAATAGATTTCAAAACAAAGTAACAAGAGACAAAGAAAGACATTACATAATGACAAAGGGGTCAGTTCAACAAGATGGTATAACCATTATAAATATCTAAGCACGCAACATAGGAGGAAGTACCTGAATATATAAAAGAAATACTAACAGAATTAAAGTGGGAAATAGATTGCAACATATTCATTTTAGGAGACTTTAACACACAACTCACATCAATAGATCAACCAGACAGAAAATAAAGATACATAAGCACTGAACAGTACATTGGATCAGATGTACTTACAGTTATCTACAGAACATTCCACCCAAAAGCAGCAGGATATACATTTTCTTAAGTATACCTGGAACATTCTTCAGAACAGGTCACATACTAGGCCACAAAAAGAGCCTCAATACATTTAAAAAGACTGAAATTGTATCAAGCAGCTTCTCAGACCACAATGGTAAGAAATCAGAAATAAATTACACAAAGAAAACAAAAGCCTACAAATACATGGAGGCTAACAACACGCTTCTAAATAATCAATGGATCAATGAACAAATTAAAACAAAAATCAAGCAATTCTTAGAGACAAATGAGAACACAACTCAACAGCTCAAAACCTGTGGGATGCACTGAATGAAGTTCTCAGAGGAAAGTACATAGCAATAGAGGCTTACCTCAAGAAACAAGAACAATCCCAAGTAAACAGTCTAAATGCACAAACTACAAAAAGAAGAACAAATGAATCCCAAAGTCAGCAGAAGAAGGGACATAATAAAGATTAGAGCAGAAATAAATAAAATAGAGAATAAAACAACAGAAGAAAAAATCAAGGAAATCAGGAGCTGGTTTTTTGAGAGAAAATAAACAAAAAATATAAACCCAGAGCCAGATTTATCAAGAAAAAAAGAAAGTGTACATAAACAAAATCAGAAATGAAGAAGGAATAATCACAACAGATACCACAGAAATACAAAGAATTATTAAAGAATAATATGAAAAAATTATATGCCAATAAATTGGGTAACTTAGAAGAAATGGACAATTTTCTAGAAAAATACAACCTTCTAAGATTAACCCAGGAAGAAACAGAAAGTCTGAACAGATTACCTGCAATGAAATTGAACTGGTAATCAAAAAACTCCCAAAACACAAAATCCAGGTCAGATGGCTTCACAGCTGAATTCTACCAAACATTTAAAAAAGAGCTAATACTCATACTTACAGAATTCCAAAAAACAGAGGAGGATGGAATACTTCCAAACTCATTCTATGAGACCAGCATCACTCTAAAACTAAAACCAACAAAGACACTTTCATTCAGTATAGTACTGGAGGTCCTAGCCACAGAAATCAGACAACACAAAGAGAAAAAAAGGAATCTTAATTGGTAAGGAAGAAATTAAACTGTCACTACTTGGCGCTGACATGATATTAGACATAGAAAACCCCTAAAGACCCCACCAAAAAACCACTAGAATAACTGAATTCAGCAGAGTTTTAGGATACTAAATTAATACACAGAAATCTGTTGCATTCCTATGTACTAACAATTAACTAGTACAAAGAGAAATCAGGAAAACAACTCCATTTACAATTGCCTAGGAATAAACCTAACCAAGGAGGTGAAAGACCTATTCTCTGAAAACTATGACACTCATGAGAGAAATTAAAGAAGACACAAATAAATGGAAATCTATTCCATGCTCATGAATAGGAAGAATTAATATTGTCAAAATGGCCATCCTGTGCAAAGCAATTTAAAGATTTATGCAATCCCTATCAAATTACCAACAGCATTCATCAATGAACTAGAATAGTTGTAAAATTCATATGAAAACACAAAAGACCCTGAATATTCAAAGCATTCCTGAGTAAGAAGAACAAAGCTTGGAGAATTACAGTCCCTGACTTCAAGCTCTATCTACTACAAAGCCACAGTAATCAAAACAATTTGGTTACTGGCACAAGAACAGATCCAAAGATCAATGGAACAGAATAGAGAGCCCAGATATAAACCTACACATATATGATCAATTAATATATGATAAAGGAGCCCTGAATATACACAGTGAAACAGACAGCCTCTTCAACAACTGGTGTTGGGAAAACTAGACAGCTATGTGTAAGAGAATGAAACTGGTTTATTGCCTAACTCCATACACAAAAGTAAAATCGAAAGGAATCAAAGACCTAAATGCAAGTCATGAAACCATAAAACTCATAGAAGAAAACATAGGCAAAAATATCTTGAATATAAGCATGAGCAATTTTTTCCTGGACACATCTCCTCAGGCAAGATCAAAATGAACAAAATCAAACAAAATCAAAATGAACAAATGGGAAACAAATCAAATGAACAAATGGGACTACATCAAATTAAAACACTTCTGTTCAGCAAAGACACCATCAGCAGAACAAAAAGGCACCCTATAGTATTGGAGAATATATTTGTAAATGACTCATCTGATAAGGGGTTAGCATCCAAAATATATAAAGAACTCATATGCCTCAACACCCAAAAAAAACAAATAACCCAATTAAAAAATGGGCAGAGGACCTGAACAGATAATTCTCCAAAGAGGAAATATGGATGGCCGACAGACACATGAAAAGATGTTCCACATTGCTAATCATCAGGGAAATGCAAATTAAAACCACAGTGAGATATCACCTCATACCAGTTAGGACTGCCAAAATCCAACAGACAAGAAATGACAAATGCTGGTGAGGAAGAGGAGAAATGGGAATCCTCCTACACTGTTGGTGGGAATGCAAATTGCAACCACTGTGGAAAGCAGTATGAAGGTTCCTTAAAAAACTAAAAATAGAAATACCATTTGACCCAGTGATTCCACTCCTAGGAATTTACCCGAAGAAAATCCCTGATTCAAAAAGACACATGCACCCCTATGTTCACTGCCACACTATTTACAATAGCCAAGATATGGAAGCAACCTAAGTGTCCATCAATAGATGAGTAGATAAAGAAGATGTGGTACATACACAAAATGGAATATTATTCAGCCATAAAAAGGAAAGAAATCCAGCTATTTACAACAGCATGGATGGATCTAGAGAGTATTATGCTCAGTGAAATAAGCCAGCAGGAGAAAGATGCATACCATATGATTTCTCTAATTTGTGGAATATAAAAACAAAGCAAAACAGAAGGAAAAAATCAGTAGACTCATAGACACCGAGACTGACTAGCTGTTACTAAGGGGAAGAGGTTGGGGAGGGTGTGGGGGAATAATGAGGGGAATAAAGGGTCACAATAATTTGCAATCACAATGTAAGTTGGTCATGGGGACAGTAGTACAGCATGGAGACTACAGTCAACGATTCTGTAACATCTTTCTACATAGATAGGTAAAAACTGCACTAGACGTTTTGAGGATTTAGTAATATGGATTATGGGGGTAACTGCTGAACCACTGTGTGTGTTATACAATCTTATGTTGGTTTCAAATGTACATCAACAATACTTTGATAAAAAAAGAAGCAAGTACAGAAAGAAGGATTTAAAAAGGGAGAGAAGACTGCAGATGGTAAAGAAAGATGACAGACCAGACTAAAAGAGGGGTCAGGAGGAAGGTGAAACAAAAGGTAAAAAAAGGTGAGAAATAAAGAAAAATCACACTGAAGAGAGAGAAAACCAGCTTTTGAAACTTAGCTAGTCAATCAGGCAATAGATTTCAGAATAAATTACCTGGGATTTTTACATTGCTAATTAGCTGATTACATTACTTGAAGATACATGGGGGTTTTGAAGAACAGGGATACAGGAATGAGTGTTCGGGCTAAAAAAGATAGCTTTGTAAGTATCAAATAAAAACATGGCTCTTGAGTCAAGGGGAAGTAGTTAATAATCCTACAGAGAGAAAAGAATTCAACACCAGGGGTTGCCTTCATTACTCTGACTTTTCTGTAACTTCACTGCCTTTCCTCTTTCCCAAGGAAAATGGGATGAAAAACAATTAATCTTACACATTTTTTGCACTGGTTTTGAGTTTAAAGAACTTCTCTGAGGCAGTATATAGTAAAAAAAAAAAAGTATATTTAATTGAGAATGTATGTAAAAGCCACTTAAAAACTTTGCTTTTATAAATGAAAGTCTCTATAATCCTAATAACTAATATAATATAGTGGCTTTTAAGTACCATGTGTGTTTGATGAAAGGACCTGACTAGTTCACACTCAAAGCTCTAATTCTGAAATATGAAAGTTGGTCCTAATGGTCTATTCTTTAACGGAAGGGGAGTTTATGGAGAAAAAAAAAATTTTTTTTCACCAAAAAAACTATTTTAGTACTAGTATGGAAAGAAGAAGCCTAAGATGATGAGTGAGTCTGAGACCTAACTGCCACTAATCACCCTGGGCAAGTACTCTAGGCTCTCTGGTCTATTTTTTTCCCATATCATCTCCTACTTCTAGTTTTGGGAAATTTATTCACATTATAATGAAATCTACAATATTTGTGTGTTAACACTTGTCAAACATTTACTACATGAATTATAAATTCCTAGAAAACAGAAAACAAATCTTACTATTTTTCTTAATTGCCCATTGCTAGGTAACTATGTGCCCTGGTTTTCTATCTGCTTTACCAGGCAGACACTTTTTTTTACCAGTGTCTCCTTTCACCCTTAAGGTACATGACAAACTGTAGAGTCAGTTCACCCACTGCAATATCATATAAAAGACACAATGGCTCATTTTCTCAGCATCTGTATATATAAAATCTTCGTAACAAAACACTGCTTTGCCTTTCACTTTCTAAAATCTATCCCTCTGAAAACATTAACATGTACTAATGAACTGTTTTAAAAGCTCAAGAATTAATGATTTTCCACTTGTATCACTTTATGAGGAGATAATTCTAAAAAGATAACTTCTATCTTATAAATAATGCTTAGAGTTGAAGCTTTATATACTTACTTCTGCTCTAAAAAAAAAGTCCACGACATAGTAAGAATCCTATACATTAATTTACATAAAAAAAGATGTGGTACATATACACAATGGAATATTATTCAGCAATACGAAGAAAACAAATCCTACCATTTTCAACAACATGGATGGAGCTAGAGGGTATTATGTTTAATGAACTAAGTCATGTGGAGAAAGACAAGTACCAAATGATTTCACTCATTTGTGGAGTATAACAAAGCAAAACTGAAGGAACAAAACAGCAGCAGACTTACAGACTCCAAGAGACTAGTGGTTACCGAAGGGAAGGGTGTGGGGAAGGACAAGGGGATTAAGGAGCATTATGATTAACACATATAATGTAGGGGGGTCATGGGGAAGGCAGTGTAGCACAGAGAAGACAAGTAGTGACTCTATAGCATCTTACTACACTGATGGACAGTGACTGCAATGGAGTGTGGGGGGAGGAGGACTTGATAATATGAGTAAATGTTGTAACCACAATGTTGCTCATGTGAAACCTTCATAAGATTGTATATCAATGATACCTTAATAAACAAACAAACAAACAAACTCAAAGAAGAAATACAACTCTAAAAAATAGTTAAGCATGAGGTGTAAAATTTTCTTGACCTGGAACATATTTTCTCTTAATGTAAAAATCAACTCTGGGCCTTTAAAAGGAATAACTTTATGCTTCCCTGTTTTTTTCATTTTCAGAGTTCAAAAGCCACTTAACTATTTGAGTTCAAATCAAAGATAATGCATACATACCTGCATTCAAATTGTTGACTGGCATTTGCAAAGTAGCTGCAACTTTTTTTAAGATGTTCTGCATTTCTGGTCCAGTTTTGAATGCTTCCACATGATAAAGAGCTGTAGCATTCCTTTCCACTTCAGTTAAAAACTTCTCACAATGATCAAAGAACCTCATTAGTTTATCATTAATTCTTGGTGGTCCACACTCCATGTCTGAAAGGAAAAATATATACATAAATCATTGATATAAATGACAACTTCAAATGACTGAAAATTTTGTTTCAAGTGTGAAAAGACACTAAAAACTTATTTATTCATCAGTATGTCTGAAATAAAGACATATGCTAAAATTAGTCCCTATTTGTAATGACTGCAATTCATGAGTGTATATGCTAGAAAAAACTGAAGAAACACTATCAAAGATAAAATGTGTTGTAACAATTCTACACAATGAAATAAAGGTAACTTTAACAAATGTTTACTTAAAGAAAACAAAAACAATTAGATATGAAAGTCATAAAAAGTGCAAAAATGTGTTAAATAACAAGGAAGTAAACTACAAATTAGCAAAGTTTCTAATTAAAAGGTAAGAGACAATTCGTTTCTATCTGCTTTTCTATGCTAAACCAAAGTCTATTAGAGTACTTTATTTTCTCAATTTACTTTCCCAACTCCATGTTACTGTACAAAAGACTTCTGTATTTCATTGTGCTAGGTGCTTCTGGTTTATTTTCTAATTGAAACTTGCAGAAAATTTTTCATTTAGAATTTTGTCTTTTGTTTTCTCAGTCATATTTAAAACACAGATTTCAATCATTTCTCCAATAATATACCATGAAAAGAACACCAAGTATCCTATTTCTATATGTCAAATGAGAACTTTAAATATAGTTACACCATTTTGCTTTGGATGTGTGTGTGAGTGTGTAACCATTTCGGGAGATCCTCAAATGGATAATTGTGCCAAGTTAACTGCCAACTGGATTACAGTTCTTAAGAAAACATCTTGACTAGGAAAATGAGTGATCTTTGTCATATCTTTCTGTGGCCTCAAAATGTGATTTCCCAAGTGGATCTGGCTATTTTATCCTTGCTATTATTCAATTACTATTGCTCTTTAAACAGAAACAAAGACATTGTTCTGTTTCTGTAAAAATTCAAAATCTAATTCAGTGGCCTTCCTCAAAAACTCAGATGTACACAATAGGCAAAACAATTGTCTATAGATAATAATGAAGTAGCTAGGCAAAGGGTTTAACCTCTGATACTGAAACAAGTGAAGGGTGGGCTTATTGTGAACTATCTCTGGCTTAGTACTTCAAAACAAATGCCAGTCCTCGAAATGACATCTAAAGGCAAAAACTCATTCATCCCAGCAGATCCAGTAGCCCCTTTTGGTATATGAAGGGTCCCCACCAGTAAGATGGCAAACTTCCGGCTTCTTTTCGGGGTCCTCGGTTCCCGCCGGCGCCACCTGAAGCCCAATCACCTCTCGCCCCCTTCCCAATCCCAGCACCTAGCCAACAGCCACCAGCCCCTTGGAAGTAACACCACAATCACCCTATGCCCCTTCCTATATAACCCAGCACCTTTCCCTAATAAAGCGGAACTCTCCGGTGAATTGCTGCTGTGTGTCGCTCTTTTCCTTTCAGTATATCTTGTATTATATATTTACATTACCCAGGAAAAATAAAGGAGGCTTATAAAAGTAAAACTGCAATGTTATGAAAAGTCACATTTGTCAAAAATTATGATTGGTGCTGCCAGGAGGTGAGATTGCTTATTAAGGACTGATGGGGGAAAACCTTAGAACTATAAGATCACAGTTTGCAACTGGTATTTTGAAAAACTGCAAGGTCGCAGTCAGCAGAATTTGGTCACACTGGTCTTTTAGACATTGTTGTTTAGCACCATTTAAAGTTCATGAAGTGTTCACACTATAGTCAAAATGTGTATGGCCCTGTCTCAACAATGTCCACCCAATCCATTTTGATTGACAAATGTGACTCCTTCTTGAGTTCTAAAAAAGTCAAAATGTTCATGCTTAAGAGAGAAGTCGTAAGGTTTTAGTGAAGTATGATGCATGCCTTGCACACAGCAGGCATTAAATGTTAGCTATAATCATTATTATCTGAGACTATTAAAATATTTTCTGAGGGAAAAACAAAAGACCTGGATTTCAGGCCGGATTCTAGTCCTTAAACTAAGGAAGGACAATCAGCAAGACATATTCTTGGACTGAGTTTCTTCACCTGTGATATAAAAGGACCCCACAAGATAATCTCTCAAATTTTGCAAAAGTATGTAAGTAATGGAGTAAATTAAGTACTGCATGTGACCATGGACCACAGCTACAGTGAGGTTAACTCTACAGTACATGTGAGAACAAAACAGAGAAAAGAGCAGAGCGATAAAGTTTGAGTAGCTTGCTGAAATAGGATGTAGATCCAGAGCTAACATCTGAAAGTCATTAAGTAGAAAAACCCGAAACAGTATCAGAAGCATGACTGAGGAAGAACGTCCTAGATTGTATTTCAAAAGTGCGCCCAACTATAGAACTAGCTGCCAGGAAGGAAAGAAAGAGGTTGGTGGCTCAGAGGGAGCAATTCAGTCTGGGAATGGGAGATCAAACACTGCCCTCGTCTGCCTCCTTTCCTATTGGATCTCCCAACTTCTACTGCAGCATCCTGCATGTGTAAGGTGCCAAACTCACACCTGATGAATGAACAAATGTGTGAGAAGAACAGCCAAATCCTGAACATCCCATGGGATGAGGCTCGAAGGATGGGGGACTGGGGACAGAGGGCAGTGAGGAGAGGCTGGGGTCGGGGCAGTCCGGCATGTGCTTGAGGACTGAGGGCGGGAGGGAGGACAGGCCCGGGAGATCACCTGCGACGTCGGGCGGCGGCAACCCCGGGTGGTAGTGCTGCCATAGCCCCTGTAGGAAGGCCGCGCCGCTGTCTACGCAGCGATGCTTGGAGCTGGTGACGAGCTGCAGGCGGCCGTAGTTCTCGCGACTGAAAAGAGCAGGGAAAAGGGAGGCCAAGCGCAGCGCCAGCTGTCGCATGTCCTGCCGCCCCTTCTCCACCAGCTGCCCGTCCATCCAGTCAGCGTACCACAGCGGCCTATCGGCCAGCGCGGCGCCCACGTCGCGGCCGCCGACGGCGCCGGTCCTGCCGTCTCCGGGCCCGCGGGCCTGCAGCAACCCGTGCAGCTGCCGCAGCTTGCGGATCTGTTTAGCCGTTGGGTAGCGGGTGCCGTGACGGATGAGCGCGACCAGCTGCACCGGGGTGCAGGTCTCCAGCAGCTCCGGGTCCCGCCGCGGCGCCTCGGGATCCGGCAGCAGCCCAGGGGTGGCATCCTCGTAGCGAGTCTTGGTGCCGAAGTAGGGGCTGAGTGCCGAAACCACAGGGTCCCGCGGCTCCAGGAGGGAGCAGCGCGACAGCGACGAGAGCAGCGCCACAGCCAGGGCCGCAACTGGGACTTCGGGGACCCTGAGGAGGCGGCGCGGGCCACGGAGCATGGTGAGGCGCGGCCCGCGAAGGGCGACGTACCGTGGGGTCGCAACTTCCGGCTCCGGCGGGCAGGGGGCGGGCCCGGAGGTGGCTTCCGGCTTCTGGCCCGGGCTTCACGGAGTGTCGCTCGGGCCGTGGCAGTGAGACAGCTTCGGCGGCCGCTGAGCGCCCGTGAAAGACGGCGGGAAGCTCCAAGGAACCGGGCGGACCGGTAGCGAAGCCGTCAGAAAGCCCCGAGGGGCCTCGGAGACCCGTGGCTTAGGTGGAGCCGGCGTCCGCTGCCCCCAGCGTGGGCGACTCCTCGTAGCAGGTGCCTCCGGGACTGACTCAACCACTCCTCCGCTCTTTAAATTTTCTAGGGTATTAATAAGCCCGGACTAAGCCTAAGCCTTCTAGTTTGCCAAAACAGGGCACCTTGTAGAAGCGGACGTTTGTATCCCCATTCTGTCCTTTCAGCTGTTTGTAGTTTCCGAACCATCAGCATGAAATGCACCTGAGGCGGTTGTTCTAAATGTTGAGTGAATCCCAGGCTGCCTCCTGAACACTAAGGCTTTTCGCCCATCACAGTGTGCATGTAAACCGTATACAAGGCAGAGAAGAACCTGGAAAGAGGTTCGGTTCTCCAGGAAATTTAATTCCTGAGCCTTTGGAAGTATGTTGAACTAGATTAGCACAAGCTGACAGCAGCTAGACAGCACCGCAGAGGTGCTGTTTGTTGATCCCAAAGGCTTAGAGAGTAGAGATTTAGCCTTCCTGGTAACTTGGACGCATTGAGTCATCACTAAATAGATTTACTACCTTATTATGTATGACCTAATTTGCTGTATGTAACAAATATGCTCTCTATTTACCACCACTCTAAGTCTAAACTCTCCACCCATGTAATTACATACTCAAATCAGCAGCTAGATTTTTTCATAGATTATTGCTCAGAATTTTTGCCTCATCCAAAAAAAAATCATAAATCTGAACAATACCTTGGTTTCTCCACTTGAACCCTATTTTATAGGCCATTTGGGAAAAGAATAAATATTAAGTTACAGTGATCCGAATTAAAGGAAATTAGGACCATGTTTGTGTAAGAGTAGCTTTTCCTTCAAAGACACTATTTCCTAAATTGCGCTCGTTAAGCCCATTTACTCTTTCTCCTCAAGCACCTCTCCCGCCCAGATAGGTGTACCTCTAAATGTTAAGCGATGAAGAAAATGAAGCAATGAAGACGATTCCAACTTGATGCTGAAAATTTTAAGACGCTGTGTGGCAGGAAACCATCTTTAAGTTGACAAGTATTCTTTGTTGATTTGCCACATGTAGAATGTCACTTCCTGAGAATAGTCAAAGTGTTATTTTCACAAAACTACTCAATGTTTAATTAGTGAGTATCCACCTTTTCTTTATGGACTTCCTAACCCTTACACTTTATAGTGTAAGGATTGTAGTGTATAGTGTAAGGCTCAGGTGCCTGGTAATATCTCTTAAGTTCATTAAGCAAACATGTGTGCCAGGTTTATCTCACTATATTTTGTTTAATATATGTACTTAATAATGATTACCTCTCAAGACCAAACTTTTGAGTCCTCAGGAGCTACAAAGTTTTCCCAAAGGCATAACTCTGTACTAATGAAGCATCTTTAGACACCCAACTAGCTACTTAGAAAACTGATGGCACACGTTTTTATAGACTAAATTTGCCCCTTGCTGGATTTTGTTTTTCTTCCTCTAATTCCTCATCTGTTAATTTTATGCTGTTTATATACTTATTAAACTAATTCTGATACTTTCATCTCATGACAACATGACAGTTGATAAAATTAAGCAATGCCTTCATGTTTTTCACTAGGAGAAAACCAGATAAAGTATAAAGAAGACAAAAAGTACATTAACTTGTCCAGACTCCAAGCTTCAACCACTCATTAACTGAGTGACTTGGAAAGTTATCCAGTGTTCTCTGAGACTTAATTTCTTTATCTGAATATTAGGAATATTAGAACCTATTTTGTGAGGTTATTGTGAAAATCAGAGATGATACATTTAAACCCCACTGAATGGTATTTTTATCAGTAATGTTCAGTGTTACTACATTACTATTGTTTCTTCATAAAAATGCTCAGCTCTCTAGCAAATTATACTGTATAAACTTATGCTGAACATTAAAGTGTATGACTTTCACAAGCAAGATATGCATTAGAGATCATTTCATAACTTTTCTAATCAGAATCCACTCATCTCACTTCATTCTTAAAGCAATGAGAACCTTTGAAAAGTTCTAAGTTGGTGACAGGCTTTACTCATGTTTTCATTCCAGGCCATGTCTTAATTCTCTGGCCAGTCTGTAAATTGGCTGCCTTTTGATATAGGTGCCTACCTTGTGCAGTCATGGTACAGAAATTTGCATGGTACACAGCATAGCTGCCCCTTGGCAAAGACTGTGGGTGAAGTGCCTTTTTTTCATAAGAGGTGATGAGCATGGCTGCAATGTATTTGACAAACCTAGCACAACACAAGAGGTAGAATGGAAAATTAGCAGTTTAAATTCCTTGAAGAAATGGGAGAGGATGGAACCAAGAGTGCAAATAGAGAACTTGATTTTCATCAGAAGGAGAAGAGACCTTATCTTCTGAAGGAAGACTGGAAGGATGGGTGCATATGTGGATAACTTTTTTGGTCCAGCAGGAGGTAATTTCAAGTCTGAAGGCCTGAGTTTCCTCAGTATCAGGTGGCAAGATTTCTGAGGAGATGGGAGAATGGGAGTTAAGTCCTATGGGATGCAGATACAGCTTAGATTTACAATGAAAAGAAATGGGAAAGGATTTGCAACTGAGAGAAATGAGAAACAAGTAAAAAGTTAGATAGTCAGTTCTGAGGATCCAACTAAGAGTAGGAATCATGAATTCCTAGTGGTTGTGCAATTTTATCCAGAATTGAGCATTATCTCTTGAGCCAGAGTGGGAAAGAAAAAAAACTTCTTGTTCTACATTATTCTGATCTATCTTAAATAGAACTTTTCTAATCCACTACATTAAACAATAGCGTATTTTTTTCAGATTATTCAAAGGACTTACAAAATAATTATTCCACTCAAGATTGCATGGTATCATGTAATATTGAAGTTACAACAATCTACTATACTTTAAAAGAGGTTATTTAAAAAGATGACTTTCTGGTGAAGAAACAAAGAAAGGAAAAAGTTAAGTTCTGTGAGGAAAAGGATAAGCTGTCTATGAGCATAGAAAATATTAAGAACATGGTTTTTGAAATTCGATATTCTGTTTTTTAATTTCAGCTCTCACCTGATATCTGTGAGATCTTAAACAAGCTAAACTCTTTTACCTCAATTTGTTTGCTTCATAAAGTGGGGAGATACTGCGTTACAGGATAGTTGATAGGATGAAATTAGATTATTTACATAAAGACTTTATATATATATACTTCCTGACTCCAAATAAATGTCAGTTACTTTTATTGGGCAGAATTAAAGTGTTTCTTATTTTTCCTTCTCTTTTAATCAAGTAAACTGACAATGCCAGTTTTTCATAGATACTTATTATCTCACAGCTACATTAAGCTGCTAACTTTGTGCCTGTGCCAATAAAGTTTTAACCCTAGTATCTTAGTGCCCTGCTGTTTCATCTTTACTCTGCTGGTTATTGATTTAGTGCTTATGAGTTCTTTTTGCAGTAGAGGAAGCCAGCAGAAGAGGGATCCATGTGTCTGGACAGTGCTGGAGTGATCCATGCTTCAACAGCAGACCCTTCAACTCTGCTTGAGTGTGGAGGCTGCAGAGATTACAAGTTCCACAGACTGCAAGATACCTTTGCTCAAAAGGAACTACACCATCACTGATCGCTAACCACTACACTGTTCCCCAGCATATCAGAACTAAGCTGAACCGTTTAAACTTGTGTTTCAGTTGATAAACAGAACTTCACCGAACCACACACGCCATTGGAGAGTGACCTGCTGTTACACATTCTCCATTACATCCTGCTAAGGAAATTATTTTACATTGACAAAGCTTCTCTTCTGGTGTTCTGACACATCCTAGGACTTTTATGTTGGTAATTCTTCCATAAATATTAGTTCTAAATCCATAGAACCATTTTAGAAACCAGATACAAGATTATGATAAGTTTAAATTATCAATGTTCTTTCTATGCTTTGCTACTCCCATTTAACTGTAACTATTCACTTTCTAATCATGTTCTGTAATTGTTGCTCAGAAACAAAATTCCTCCAGAAGTGCCCTCCATAGAAAATATATTGATATCCTATCACTATTAATGAGTTCCAAATCCTGGTAAAAATCTGTCTTCTCACTGTACTTTTTTAAAAACAAGCATAGATTATAGCAGTTGTGTTTCAATATCTTATTTTTACTGAAATGTTAGTTTTTCAGAGTTGGAAAATCTCTTTGAGCAATTGGACCTTGAAGACAATTTATTAGCTTGTTAGCTGACTTTAAAACCATAAATGTTTCCTTATCATTCCCAAGAGAGCTTTCAGAAAAAAAGTTCTTCCTTTTAGTTCTTCATCAGGAAGGCTGTTTTTAACTTAGTCCATTAAATATCAGTTTCATTTTGTCCCACTAGCCCATGCATGAACCAATCTTTAAGGTTTTGTTTTGTTGTAACGTAAACCCATCTTTCCTGGGTTTATATGTCAGCAAATACTAAAACCCAGCAATACCTTATCTAGAAAAGCAGTGTAGGCACCTATGAACTTACACTTGGTTGCAGCCACTTTAGTATACAGGACAGTTCACACTCCAATTGAAACAGCCATTATGGTTACACAACACCCCTCATTACCCTACTTTATCTCCCGTCTTTTGTCCTACACTGCATTGTCTGATTCTGTACTCCAGAAGATAAAGCAGTTGCTGCTAAATTATTCATTGGTTAATACCTTAGATGCAGGGGCCATGGTGAAAAGGTTTTTGATTCCCAAACTTTCATTCCATATCTTACATTAAGCAGACTGTCAGCACCTATTTGTTAAATGGGTGTATGAATGAATAAATAAATAAAAATAGAACAGTCAGTGTGGGAGCTAAATTGTGGAAGTAATAGTGCTTTGTATTTATTCAGTGTAATTATTTTATCTTCTCAGCTACCCCATAACATATGAAGGACAATATTT